GTATATGCATAAGACAACTAAAAGGGGAAGAGTTTTCAAAGCTTACCAAGGGTGCCTCCTTGTTGGGGGAGTCGGCATACGACTGCTTCATTAGCGAGACCCGCAGCATGGCCGCCGCAGTCTTAGATGCTGTTATTTTACTCATGGCGTCGGCTGAAAGAAATAAACAGCAAAGTTAGTAAAAATCCCAAGTAAACAAGGCGTGAAAAAACAGAGTATTCGTCAGGCCGGCTACCTCTAGAGCACCGACTGCTGAGGCCACAGGCGGCCAAGAAGTACTCGTCATAGAGCCACTTGAAGCTCGGGACGCAGTTTAGGGGTACTTGCTCTCGTACCCCTGAAGTAGAGTTCACCCTAGTCTCTACTTTGAAGAGTCCTTTGTCTAGGATCTCTTTTTTAGCCTTTGGGGGAACAGGCGGCATGCTGCGGCCGCCTGCGAGAAGAGGCGGATCCCTATTCCACTTGTTAAAGCGTTTGTTCAGCTCCGTGTCTGAACTCTCGATAATAAGAAAGGTGTTCCGCCAATCCTTCCATTTGTTTGCCTTACCTCTCGTCATGAGGTAACCCCTATGGCTTGTTAATTGATACCAGCCGGTACCTCCCGACTTAGGGGTCCGGCTGAGATAGTTCATGTGGGCGAAAGCCTCAAAACTTGGCTCCACCCCGTTCAGTTCGCACCCGGCCACATAGCCGAGTACGTTTACCCAAGAGTTGGGGGCTAACTGCCATAACCCCAGATCATACCCATCTAAAATCCGCTGAACAGCCGGATGTAATGGGAAGCGCAGTCCAGCTTTGATGGCCGCCACATAGCAGCCAAAGCAGCCGTCACCATAGCTGGTACCAGCCGGCCAGACGACAATATCTTCTGGATCCGGCACAAACAGTAAAAACTCCGGGCCCATTTTGTGGTTAGCAATAAAGCTCGCCACGTTGTCTCGCATGGTTGCAATCCGGCCCCGGGGTACCCTGCAGTAGTAGGGGGCGTTTTCCTCTCTGTAAGAGGCGGACGGCTCTGCCCAATTATCCCCCTTCTCAACTGCATGAGAACTTCTCGCCTCTTGTAGGCGGCTATGTTTTTCTTCTGAGCCAGAAGAACTGTGGCCAGAAGAGCTGGATTCGGACTCGTCCCCTGACGAGTCCGAAGAGGACGACTCCTCCCCTCTCCTAGAGGGGCCCGCCTCCTCTCCCTTAGAAGGAGCAGAAGGAAAATTAGACATGTCCACGGTAAGATGGGAAGGGAACACCTTGGTCCCTCTCTCAGAACTGTCAGCTTGACAGTCGCCTCGTTCTACATCTGGCGCCTGGTCAGATGTTTCACTAAGGAGCACCCTTTGGGAGGAGCCGTCTGAGTTTGATATCATAGCAGTCTTTTTTGTTCTGGCCATCACGTTCTGCATAGACACAGATACAGTCGGACTTTGTATAAAGGGCAAAGATGGGTCCAGAAAAGGGCAGGCGGCACTCCTAGTCCTAGATTCAGCCGTCCCCGGTGACCGGCTGATCACTAACTTAGGGCGTGTCGTGTGCTTCCATGGTGCCATTTCAAAAAATAAAAAGAAAATTAAGAGTAAGAGAACTGAGTTACTTGAACGAGTGACGGTTGATGAAGTCCTGAAAGTTCGGGTCAGTCGGCTTGTCAGAACAGGCGGTAGGCAGAAAAAGTCCAAAATGTCAGAGCAAGTTCAGGGGTCCGAATGTTCTCGCAAAGTTCTCAAATGTGAAAATGACCGAAGTCAGCACTTCCTTTTATAGGCAAAGTGAGAAGGCGAAGGGTCGCTTCCAAATTCAAAATTTGGGCGGGAAAATCTCTCGGCCGTTTGCAAGGTGACACCTGTAACAGGCCGTCGCCTGTCACCGTGCGACACCTGTCACAGGCGACCCGTGACCAGTCACGTGCCACCTGTGAGGGGCAAATGATTAGGGGATTTTTATCCACCAATCACCGTCTGACAAGTGGACCAACCAGGTTCCGCCACGTGTCCTTCACGAAGGCCAACAGGAGCTTGCCACGTGTCAATCACAGATACGTCCTCTACGGACCACTTTAGACACGCCACGTGTCCACCCATGCCAAATGGGACAACCGGCCATCAAGGCCCAATTCAGTCTAGAGGCCCGATCAGCCCTAGGTTTACCTTAAACCTAGAGAGTTGCACGCTTCTCAAGGCTATAAATACTCGATTAATCCTCATTAGTCACGGGATCGAATAATCAAGAGATCAAGCAGAGAAGAGCAGAGTTATTAACAACCGGCTAATCTCGCTAACAACGCAGATTACCAACACTAAGCACTCTCACCTAGAGAGATCTCATTACTTTAATTTCTGTATTGATTACTCCTTAATCGGGTACTAACTTGACCGTTGGAGGCGGAGCTCTCAGGAGTCTCCGTTATTTTGCAGGTACAGGCGCCCGGTTCCAGTCTCGGAATTGTAACTCTCCCGCAGGACATCAGAAAACCCCGAAACAGTTTTCCCCGTTTTCAAATAAGCAAGAACTATCAATTATAAGCTACAACCACCTAGATCCAATCATCATCTTTATCAAATATCCATGTTCTTAGCCTTAGCCTGAACACATCCTTGATACTCCCAAATCATTCACGAGATTCGAATACTCCTAGTCATCCTCGACGTTGCCTTTGACCTCGACCTGAAAGGTTGATGGTTATGAGAGTTTGATCCCAAATCTATATTTCAATTCATATTTGATTTATTTACTTTATTGATTTAATTTTCTTGAAGTTTACTAATGTGTGTATTGTTTTGATAGCAAGAAGGTTGAAGCATCAAAGTGAATAATTCAATCATCCTTATTATTATTCCTTTGATTTTGGAGTAAAAATCATGTTTACAATATAATTTTAATTCCTAATATCATATTTAGGATGCTTTTTATGATCCCTAGGATCATGTTTGGTATGCTTGTTATGATTTCTAGTACCATGTTTAGGATAACGCTTCGATCTTATTATTAGTAACATGCTAAGATTTGTGATTAATCCGTTTAGTATCATGCCTAGGATCTTACTATTAACAATGTTTTGATGATGTTCTTTGATGATTATTGTTGTATTAATCATATGTTACTTGATTATTCATGATTTATTGATACTGCTTGATCACGCCCCCTTTTTGCAGGTTTAAAGAGAATTTGTACTTGAAATCACGCCTAATAAGATAATTTGATTTAGGCTTAATATGATTTTAATTCAAGTGATCACCAATAATATATTTGATTGTGCATTAATAATCAACCAGTTAACATAGATTAAACATGTTTAGGATTAACTTGATGTATGTATGTTGATCGAAAAGCGCACATGAATATCATAAGAATTGAGTAAAGGACTATTTAGGACGGGTTCAATTTCTTTTAGCACTACAAAAATAATGAGAATAGGCAACACCTAAAATTGCAACACTAAAACAACTATTACCCTAGGTAACCTAAGGCAACAATTTTTAAATGTTACCATGAACCAAAATAATAATACTAGATCCTTGTGTAACAATTAAAAAAGTGTTGCTATAGACCATTAAAGGCAACAATCACCTAAAATGTTGCTTTTCTCTTGTCTAAGGCAATATTTTTAGGAAATGTTGCTGGAAAAGATAAAAACAACATAATTGTTGATTAGGGGATTTTGCTCCCACCAATCGGAATGCGCCACGTGGGCCAATCAGGTCCTGCCAAGTGTTCCCCAGTTGGACCTCTCAGGGTTGCCACGTGGCACACGCTTATTCGTCCGCCTTGGACCTATTATGTCATGACACGTGGCATACTCCATGCCTAATGGAGAAGTCGGCCACCCAGGCCCAACTTCCGAGGGAAGCCCAATCAGCCCAAGGTTAACCTAAACCTAGATTGACACGTTTCCCGAGGTTATAAATACCTCCCTTAATCCTCATTAAGGGAGATTACGCAGATTACACACATTAAACTCTCTCACCTAGAGAGACCCAATCACTTTAAATTCCGCATTAATTACTCCTTAATCAAGTACTAACTTGACCGTCGGAGGCGGATCTCCAATCATCCGGAGCATCCGTTTGTTTTGCAGGTACAGGCGTCCGGTTCCAGTCTCGGAATTGTAACTCTCCCGCAGGACATCAGAAAACCCCGAAACAATTGTTAGGTTTATGTTGATCATCTATGACATCATATCATTGAATACACAACATAAGCGATGTGTTGCTAATTATATTTCGTATGATGTTTTTATCTAATTAAATGTTTTAAAAGAAAATTATGGGTTGCTCTATTATTTTTCTTATGTAACTTATAAATAATATTTTTTTTTCCAGGTAACTTTAAAGGCAAGTGAAGAAAAATTTATATCCTAATTTCACTTATAAAATAGAGATAAGTGAAAATCAGATGAATAGAATGTACCTTACATCATTTTGATCTAAAAAATGCATGGCAGAATAAATACAATAGAGGTATAAAAAAATAATTAGGTTGTGCCGGGGTTAAGTATATAATTAATTTTGTGCCCAAACCTACAAAATGAGGTCGGGCTTGTTTGTTTGTTTTTTTTTTTTTTTTTTTTTTTGTTTGAGACCGGGGTTTGGTCGATCTAAAAATATGTTTTTACGGTTGGATTGGCTAACGGACTAGGGTATTTTTGATCACCTCTAGAATTATATAACTCGAAAACAATTTTATTGGTTAAAAAACTTAGTTTATTTTTACAACTATTTTATTATATTTGTTTCTGATTTTTATCAATTAAAATTATTTCTAATACTCTATTGTCATGTATTTATTAAATATTAATCTCTTGGTTGATGTTGTATGTTTTTTTATTTTTTTATTTATGAACCAATCTTTCTTTAAAAAAAATCCAATTTATTTGAGTCTTCCCAAGTGTACGCATGCCGCAAATAGTCATACATCACTCCCTCCGTATTTGAATAAGTGAAATAATTTGATGTTTTGCACTATTCATCTAATTCACTTTGACTAATTTTTGTGCTTTATGTATAAGAATAAAAATACTTTTGTGGGTAATTTTTGGAATTGTCTCAATAAATAGTTTATTAATTTTCAGCTGTCACTAGTAGAAATACACAAATGTGCACCGATATTTGAAAATCGGTGCATAAAACATAAGTCTAGACCCAAAAAAACTAAAAATTGGCTTAAATCAAATTAGAAACGGTGCCCTTAATCCCAAAAACTCGCTTCACTTCTCTTAGATCCCTAACCCTCTTTCCCATTATCTCTGATCTCTCTCGCTCTCTCTCTCTTTCTCTTTCTCTTTCATTCTCCCCTTCCACCGCCGCCCCGCCACCGGCGACGGCCACTCTATCTCTCTATTTCTTACTCCACTTCTCATTCCCTCTCCTCTGCTCGTGGTCCTCATTTTCTCACTCCTCGTTTCTCTCTGCTTACCTCAAAGTCTCCAGATCGATCTACTTGGCGCAATGAATTGAAGTGCTGGTTATTCATCATCTTCAAGAGGCATGTCGATTCTTAATTTTCATACCCTTGTAATGCCTTTTCTTTATTTCTTTCATTATTTAGGGGTTTCTTACTTTTTTAGATTGATTTTTGTTTTAGGGTTATTCTGTTTCTAGATATTTTCTCTACTTAATTTGGTAGGATATTGACGATTGCAGTTCATTGATTGTTTATTTGACTGTGAAGTTGACATTTAATTGCTGAATTTGTTCCTGGGTGTGCAAGATTTTGGGGTTTTTTTTTTTTACAAATTCGGTGGTGGGTGTTTAATGATTTAGGGTTTTATTTATGAAATTGTTGATGGGTGTGTTTGTTTTCTTAATTATATCTGGTGGGTATTGACAATTCAGAACTATATCCTGGTGAAATCTTCTCTATTGTGTTGAAATTCTGTTGATTTTTGTTAATTAATTGTTGGTTTGCTTGATATACGGAGTTCGAATTGCTTGTAGTTGTAGGCTTGTAGCAAGGTTTCTGCTTATAAAGTTGTGTTTTGTCTACCCAATTTTAGTGATTTTGGAGTTGCGCTTAGTTGTTTGATTGCGTTATAATATATTAAATTTAAGGTTTTTTATTTTAATTTTTTGTGATTTGAGGAAATTGTTATGTGTTTATGCTTGGTTGAAGAGTATTGATTGACATTCTGTTCTCTAATACTCAATTTTTCAATGCAATACTATTATAAGAGATTAATTTTAACTATTGACAATGTTCTTGATTATTCTTGGTCATTCTTGTTAGAACTCAATAGCTATTAAAAGAGGCATATCCTATACTAGTCTCTTGCTCACATTCAGGGTATACATGTTGGTGTATAGGCTTTCATTTTATGGTGTTTTTAGCTTACAAGTTAAAATTGTTGTTACTAACTTATTACTCATTCTTACTGCCCGAAGTAATTTGCTAAATATTCGCATTATTGGTGACTTGGTACCTACCTGATGTTGCTTCTTTCATATTTTTACCGTAGAAATACTTTGATTTGTGATATTATACTATACATAGAAGTTCTTTTAATGCATTGGATCTGAACCCTTAGCTCATAGACTTGCTAAATATGGTGGTGCGAATATACTTGTCGAATTGGCTAGTCAAGTTTTGGGGATCTTCTAAATCAATTTCATTATAGTGGGGATGATTACTTTAGGATTTAATATGATATGTCAGAAGATACAATAACATTTCACCAAATTGCTTATCTTTCTTTTTCTTTTATCAATTTATTCAAACATTGTCAAAAAATTGTTTTTACATCTTTGGACTCTTTAAGATTGCATTTGGTGTTACTTAAATGTTTGAGCTTTTGAGAATGAGGGAATGCTCTTTATATCAGTTGTTTGAGTTTCAGCTGTATCAGCTGTTTGACTTATTGCTGGAGTGATGGGTCAAATACTCTTTTGCTTGTTTCCTTCTACAAGTTTATTGAAACGGTCATGTGTAGCAAGAAATGTGTAGCTATATCAGTTGTTTGTGTAGCAACTAATTATTATGTAGCATATTCCTTCTTGCTTCTTCAGAAAACTGCATATTGGTCAATGAATATGAACTACAACAGATTTTATTTCTTTGATGTTGGAACTACTGCTTATTATAGCTGCAAGGTTAACAATCCTTAAGCAAGAACCGAGATTTATCGCAGGACTTGGGAGTATTCTCCTTCCATTTGCTGCTGAAGAATAATGTGAGTTTGCCAATGTCTGCTTATTTTCTAATTCCACCATTTATCAATTTGAGAATTTCTGTCTTTGCTTTCTTTTCGATTTAAATACTTTTTGGGGGATATTTATTCCTAAAAATTTCATATGCCATACTGTCGGAAAATGGTGTAATGTTTGTGGAATGGAGGGAAGAATTTGTGTCTCAAGAGAGAGGCAGCAGGATTGTTCAGCTTCTGGTGTAATTTTGTGCAGCAGCATCATCATATAATTACTAATCATTAGAGAGCAGCAGGCACAACAGCAACACCAACATCATCATCACCAGAAGCAAAGGATGTACTCAAGCTCGCTGAAGAATGTCAAAGCTCTACGGTCTTGTTCGTCAAAAGATCAGGGAATCAAGTTGCTCATAGGCTTAGCAAAGTTAGAGTTGAAATTTTAATGGTTTCATGTTTGGCTAGAGGATGGGGTACCCAATGATTTACATGGGTTGTTTGTAATGACCTTGATTTTTGACTTTGTTTAATAAAATCGTTAAAATCGTTTCGATTTGTTTTGTGTTACTTTTAATTTGGTTATGTTTATCCTATTTAAATTGAGGTATATATATAAACAAAAATAAAAAAAATTATCCTATTATTTCTAACAAATATAACAAGTGAAAGGTTTTTGTATATTATCACATAAGGAGATAGTTTTGAATTGTTTCCTAGGGTTGCAACAATTTTTACTTGTTGCCTTGTACAATTGTTGCCTTAGCTAACATTTTACCTTGCCTTTAAAAACTGTTGCCTTTGAATAAAAATGTGTTGCCTTATGAATAGACAACAGGGGCATAAACTACGCCTCATATGCGTTGCCTTAGCTACAAGGCAACACTTTTTTTATATTAGGCAATGGTTTTTCACTGTTCCCTTTGCTTAATTTTGTTGTAGTGTAGGTTGGATTCGTACCATCATCCCCGAACATCCAGTCATGGTTCTGGACCACTATGGAGTTAGCGATCTCCGTGATCGTGAATGGGGTGTAACCTTCGCACCCGTGAACAGTTTACAAGTTTCTAAAACTTATAGGCGACTCTTTTTCTCTAGCTTCTTTTCCTTGGAGCACCGCCATGCTTAAAAACATGAACCACAATAGGGCAGAGTTGGAAAATTCCACTATAAGAAAACAGCTGGATTCCTGCGGAATTTTCCCGTCGGAAACATAGGAAAATCCGTCGGAATCAAGCCTTCCGACGGAATTCCGTCGGAAGTAGTCTGTAGCAACACCCTTTGTCGGAAATTCGACCTTTTCCGGCAGAAATTCCGTCGGAAGAGGTGATTCCGACGGATCTAATTCTGTCGGCGACGTTTTTCACTTTAATTGAAATTCCGTCGCAATTTTCCGACGGAAATTTCCGTCGGAGGTGGATTGGTTTCCGACTGAATTTTTCGTCGGAAAAGTCAATTTAAAAAAAAAAAAAAAAAAAAAGCAGCCCCCCACCCCACACCCACACCCAGCGCCACCCCTTCCAACCCACCACACCACCCCACCCCCCTGCCCCCCCACCCTAACCACACACCCAGCGCCACCCCTTCCCACCCACCAGACCACCCCACCCCCCTGCCCCCCCACCCTAACCACACACCCAGCGCCACCCCTTCCCACCCACCAAACCACCCCACCCTAACCACTAACCCCCACGCACACCTTAACCACCCCACCCCTTAACCCAAACCCACCCTAACCACGCCACCCCTAACCCAGACCCACACTCACCCTAACCCCCTTACCTAGACCCACCCTAAACCCTTTACCCAGACCCACACCCACCCTAACCACGCCACCCCTATCCCAGACCCAGACCCACCCTAACCCCTTTACCCAGACCCACTGTAATACCCCGTATTTTTGAAAGGCATTTTCTAAATTAAAGAGTATTTAGTCTCGTATTTTTGACGTATTTTCTAACTTAAGAGTATTTTAGTTTTGGAGCCAAAATGATATTTGAATTTTGGCGCCTAAATCATTTATTTTAATTAAATGAATAAACTAAAAATTTTATGAATAGTATTTTGATTAAATAAATAATAAAAAAAACTATATTAATTAATAAAATTAGAGGCATTTTCGAATATAAAAATCTGATTTTTCATAAACATATTTTCGGATTTTTCCAATAAAATCCAATTTTACTTAATATCTTGCTAAACTAATTATTTTCATGAAATAAAATTAATTTCCTAAAACTAAATAAATATCATTTTCGAATTCTTACAATTAAAAATCTGATTTTACTCTAAGTAAAAGTATTTTCATAAAATAAAATCAATTCCTAAACTAATGAAATACATTTTCGGATTTTATATTAAAAATCTGATTTTTATTAATTATTTGCTAAATTAATTATTTTTATGAAATAAAATGATTTCCAAAATTTATCAAATAATATTTTAAACTTTATATAATAAAAATCTGATTTTTATACTTAGTATTGTCCAAATTCGGCCACCCTAATAATCTAGCAAGAAAAATTGATTTTATTCTTATTAAATCTTTAGTTTTTGACTCTGATTTTTATACCTTAGTATTGTCCAAATTCGGCCACCCTAGTAATCTAGCAAGAAAAATTGATTTTATTCTTATTAAATCTTTAGTTTTTGACAAATAAATTTTTTATAAAATCCCTAAACTAACATGATAGGTCCGAAAATATTGAGTAATATTGCTCAATATTTTCGGCCATTCATGGTTTTTCTAAAAAGATTTTAAATTATTTTATTAAAAATAAAATCTTTTAATTTCTTTACTTCCATTCTTAAACCTAAAAATATTTTATTCTATGTCATCCTTGCACTCCAAGCTTAAAAACTACCAAATGGAATTTCATGATCAAAAACTTCCATAAATTATAAACCCTAAAATGCCATAAACTCATCCCCTAAACACCTATAAATACCCCTTTCATACACCCCAAAAATCACACCAAAAACCTCAAGAATTCTCTTCTTCTTCCCCTTGTTCTCACGATTTCTCCTCTCCTTCCCCTCAAAATTTCCGGCCACCACCTCCGGCGACCACCTGCTGCTGGCAGCCACCAGCAGCCACCCTTGCTCCTCCCTTGCATTGGTTCCTCCACCTTCCTTCAATCCCTCCTTTTCTCTTAAACTTATTAACCATTTTCTAAATATTATTTCTTATACAAATTAATTTTTATAAAAACAGAAAATTCTTTAAATTATAAATAGAAAATTATTTTATATAATGATAATTAATTCATGCACATATAGGGTAGTTTAATTAAATTGTTGTGTTTATTTGATAACCTTATATAATTAAGGTTATAATTATGTGTAGGGTGTTCGTGATTTAGAGAAGTAGTTGTGAATCGCTCGTGATTGATCAAGGTACGTTATGTGGTTTGATACCTTCGAAAGTTGATTATGGAACTACATGTTTTATGATCGTATGAAATTATAATTTATTCCGTATAAAATTTTAATTGTGAAGCTATAATTTATGTTCCGTATAAAACTATGATTTATTATGAGTCTATAAATTATTATGTTCCGTACCAAATCATATTTTATTACATTCCGTATGAAATCATGTTTTATGTTTCGTATAAATTTATGATATTATGTTCCGTACCTAAATTATGAAATCATGACGGATTGAATTAAATGATTTGGATTTAAATCAAAAGGACCTTAAATTGTGATTGGAAAATTATTGGAAATGATTTACAAGTTTGTTGTTATGTAAGTGTGATGGATTTTTAAAGACGAGTTTTTAAACAAATCAATCGATATGTTGAATCCCACTTAGGGAATGGTTTAGAGAAGACTATGGACTTTGCATGACCTAGTCTTTCCTCAAGTTTGGCCTTTGATTATAAAGTAAACCACTTGGGGGGTGTGCACACTTAGTGAGGAATTGGTTTGGAATGAATCGATTGAGTTTTAAATTGTATTAAAAGAATTGGATTGAAAAAGTTCTATTTGAATACGACATTGGTATTTCTTTTATTAATTAAACGAAAATGATTTAAATTACGTTTTACTTATCTTACACATGACTTACTTAGCATACTTTGCTAATACGTGCTTTTGTTTTGGCTTTGCCCTGTTTATCATTTACGGTAAGTAGGTGAATTTTTCAGGTGGAAATTAATTGATGCATACGGGAGTCCGCGGGAATTTCACCTAGCTAGGAAAAGTTTGAGTCATTTTTGTGTCACGAATTATGAACGAATTTTATTATGGTTATTTAATAAAGAATAAAGTTTTCCGCTGCAAAAGTATTTTTGTATAAGCCTTGCGTTATACGCGGCGGTAACACGCCCAAACCTATCTCTACGGTATTTATACGTATTTTTCTACAATTTACGTAGAAAGAGATTTGGGGGTGTTACACCCACCCCACCCCTTTACCCAAACCCACCCTAACCCTGAACCGACCTAACCCAAGAATTACCACATCCACCAACCACCACCACCCAAACCCACCAAACCCCCCTAACCCAAACCCACCAAACCCCCTAACCCAAAATCCATCCACAACCGCCCACAATCACAACCACCACACGAAACGTGTGAAAAATTAAAAAAAAAAACAAAAAAACATACCTTAAATGGTGAATTTTGCTTCGAATGTCACACGAATTTGGTTTAATACGGCCAAATTCGATCATGAAACCTCTAGATCTAGAGGTTTCATGGTCGAATTTGGCCGTATTACCATGGAACGCCGGCGAGAAGGAAGAAAGGAGATGGAGAAGTACGGTGAAACGACGACAATGGCTGTGGTGGTGTTGTGTAGCGGCGGTTGGTGCGTGGGTATTGTTAGTGAGAAAGGAGAAGGTGAAGAGAGGAGAAGAGAGGAGAAGTGAGAATGGCGGAGGAGAGAGAAGGAGGGAGGAGTTTAAAGAGAAAGATTAGAGGAAAGAAGAGAGGAGAGGAGAGAATAAGAGAAAAGAGACACGCATAGAGAAGGGGAGAGGAGAGAGAAAAGAGAAGAGATGTTAGGGTTTTTTTTTATATTCCTTTTTTCCGACGGAATATTTCGTCGGAAGATTCCGACGGATTTTAAATCCGTCGGAAATGTTAACATTCCGACGGAATATTCCGTCGTAAAATTCCGAGGGATTTTTATTCCGCCGGGAATGTAATTTTCCGACGGAATATTCCGTCGGAAAGCCTTATATTCCAACGGATTTTAATTCCGCCGGAAATTTCCGACGAAAAAAAAATCCATCGGAACTTCTTACGTTTCCGACGGAATTATGTGTCCGTCGGAAATCGACCTATTTCTAGTAGTGTTCCCTACGGTGACATTAATTTACAAAGGACCTATCACAATTTTTCTTTTTTTAAATTACGAGCTAGGAAACACGCGCACGTTTCGTGTGTCTTATATAATTTCTCTATACGACTCAATTATCCTCTTGTTCCTGAAATATTATCTATCTTATTCTAAACAAATTAAAATGTGAAAGGGGTAAATTGGAAAAATAAAATTCATAACTCATAACCACTTTCACTTTATATATTACCATAGATGAAGATAA